ATTGCGGTTGTGGGGCTTGCTGCGTCGGCAAACTTCGCAAGAGTCGCAATACCGAGTGACATCGGTAATGAGGTCGGGCCATCGGAATCGCTGTCGAAGTCGTGCAATAGTGCGGTTGACTCCGAAATGGCCGGCGAGTCGTGAATCATGGTACTCGCCGAGGAGGCGAGTCCGAAGACGACGGTCGCGTGGGACACATAGTAAGTCCTTGCCTCTCGAATGGAGGCGCAAGTACCCGTCGACAATGCGGTAATGGCTGGCCGGCGGGTGATCTGAAGATAGCTGTGCATAGAGCGTGCCGAAGTCCGGATCGGACTGATATGCCCGGATGAAGTGTCGCTGAAGCTCCTCGTCGAATGCGAAGGCATGATGTGTCATCGCGCAAAGACCAAGTCTTCGCGAGAGTGCATCTGCTGCGCGATTGGAGAGGCCGGGGACATGCTTTGATGTAAAGTCAAATTGGTCGATGAAGTACATCCATCGTCCGATCGTGCTGCTCATCATGTCCTGCGTCTTGTAGTAGGTCAGTGGATTGTTGTCTGTGATCCATGTGAACTTACGACGCCCAAGGAGGAAGTGCCGCCAGCGTTTGAGAGCCATCACGAATGCGAGCAACTCCTTCTTCCTTGCATCATCAAGCGAGTTGATGGGAGGCACTTTGTGGCTGAAATACTCCACAGGGTGCCAGTCGTCGCCGTCGTGCTGTTCCAAGACTGCCCCAATGCCATAGCCGGAAGCGTCCGTAGTCACTCGTGTCGGCAAGGTGGGGTCATAAATGCTAAGGACGGGTGCCATGAGCATAGCTGTCTTAAGTGCTTGGAATGACCGGCGTGCGTCGTCATCGAATACGAATGGCACCTTTGGCGACTGTAACCTCGTCATAGGTGCAGGGCTCGGGCCATACTCGTAGGGCCTCGATCTTGTCCGCAAGCAGACGGATGCCTTGCGGCGTCACATAGTGTCCCAAGTACTCCAGCTCCTGCTGTGCGAACTCGCACTTGTTGTGGTTTGCTTTGTACTTGGCCTGTCGTAGCCGTTCCAAAACGGTGCGCACATGTTCCACATGCTCGTCCAGACTCCGGCTGTAAACCAGAATGTCGTCGAGGTATATAAGTACGAAACGATCCAGCATGTGTCGGAACTCCGTCGTCATAGCCGCTTGGAAAGTGGCTGGGGCATTCGTAAGGCCAAATGGCATGACCAGCCATTCGAAATGCCCATATCGAGTCTTGAACGCGGTCTTCTAGCGATCCTCCTTGCGAATCTCGAGTTGGTGGTACCCTGACTTGAGATCCAACTTAAAGAAGAACTGGGCGCCGCCCAATCGCTCGAGAAGGTCGTCGATGCGTGGGAGAGGGCCGACGTTCCTGATCGTCTGCGCATTGAGCTTGCGATAATCGATGCACAACCGCAGGTCCTTGTTCTTCTTCCGGACGAAGAGAACAGGAGCACCGTATGGCGATGAGCTAGGCCGAATCCAACCTTTCTCTAAAAGGTCGTCGAGTTGTGCCCGAAGCACACTTAACTCTTCCTCGCTCATTCGGTAGATGCAACCGCGCGGAGGTACGGCCCCGTCCTCGAGGATGATCTCGTGGCGGATGGGTCGATCCGGTACTACTCCATGCGGGTCTTCGAACACGTCGCTGTAGGCGTCGAGAAGTTCGGTGATGCGTGGATCCGAAGGTGAGTCCGTTGATGAAGCGTCCTGTGGCGGGAGGGCGTGGAGAAAACACACCCCCATCTCCTCAATGTCGTCTCTGATGATGAAAGCTCGTATGCTTGCGGCGGATACCACGTGGCAGCTGATCGAAGGATGAGGAAGAGGCACAGTGCATGGAACTAATACTCCGTTTCGGTCACGAACGTGAACGGTGCAGTTGACGAAGTTCACAGGGTGATCCTTGCTTCGCAGCCATGACATCCCCAAGATCATGTCGAATTTGGTGTCCAAAATGTCGAAGGACACCGCCTCACTTGCGTGAGGGGCAAAGTACACTGGGACGACATCAATGCACCGGTCGATGGACTTGTGCGTATGACCGTCTGCCAGAGTGACTTGCGTAGGCTGGGACTTCCTCCGGACACGTGGGCCAAGGCCGGCGTGTACCATGAAGTCCTGGATAATTTAGTTGCGAGATGCTCCGCAATCGATCAAGGCACTGCAGGTCGCCTCTCCGATCTGAATGCGTATGTATAGCAATGGTGCGTCGATGTCGTCGTACCATTGCGTCTTGAACTCGCG